AGGTATTAAACCCTCAACTCTAAGCAGTTAGACGTTACTGCGTAAGGTAGTAGGTGTCCTGAGTCTAGACTAGAAAATCCAAGGATATATAAATTAGGCTTTCTTGCCTCAAAGTTAATACCTTTCGGTTAAGAGGTTGTTGTTACATAACTTTAGGTGTCGAATTCATAGAAAAGTTATATTAAATCAACAAAAAGAGTTGTAATAATGAGAAATTAAATTAAAATATGAATTGTAAAATTAAAAATAAAAATATTTAAATAAAAGATGGTAATTATAAAAGATTGAAAACAATATTATGATGAACAATATTTCAAGGTTCACTTAATTGATTTGTTTAACTGTTATAAATTATGATTTTTAGTTATTATTCAATTGCATGTTTCACATCCCAAACAAACAATCGGAAGATTTAATTGTGAATAATTAATGTATTTATTTTGAGAGAAATTAATTTTAATGAAAAACAAACTGATTTATCATTAAGAGCTATCCAAGAGCAATAATATATCTAATCGATATACTGTAATAAAGCATCAACCCGCAAAACAAATCCATCAATCAATTATATTCTAACAAATCACACATAAAAAGAGTATAACTAATCTGATATGAAATATGATAAATATAATTTTCAGAGTTTTCAAACCTGAAAAATAATTAATAATTTCTCAAAAATAAAATTCAACAATAAAATCCATGAAGAAATCAAAATAAAATAACAAGTTAAACTCCTCAATAAAGATCCTCTTTAATCTTACTAAAAGTTTAGTTGCCCTTTAACATATTGTTGTACCTATGATTTTGATGATTACAAAACACATTTGAGTGACTAATTGGTTTATTTAAGTGTATAGTTAAGTTGCTAAAAGATTGTAAGTAAACTTAGATTGCACTTAAAAATGGACCAAAAAGGCTTGAATATGTGCAGAGAGCTGACTCTTAAAAGCTGTAGCTGGCTTTGGTGAAATGGAACTGCAGAGAGCCGGCTCTACGGGTAAAGATTTAAAGGTCCGTTGTTTGGCACGCGTGGAGAAAAGACACTAAGCGGGCTCTAACTTTGCAGCCGACTGTAAGGGTGCATTTAATGCATTACGGTCAACTTATTTGAAGAATAATTAATATTGTTAAAGTTGGAATACCAAAGCTGGCTCTAGGCTTTGAAGCCGATTCTAGGCTTTGCAGTCAGCTATGGAAGAAAACAGAATGTGCAGGAAACCCGCAAAGCCGGTTGCAGAACTTTTAAGCCGGCTCTACAAAAAAAACAGAATGCAGGAATCCCGAAAAGCCGGCTGCAAAAATGGTGAGCCGACTCTTGGAAGTTAAGCCGGCTCTCCTGACATTTCTGCAACTCGAGCTTTGCGTCCTGCAGAGCATTTAATGACTCCCAACAACTAGAAACCACTATTTTCAGCAAGAGGCTATAAATATGGTTGGTAACAGATTTGAAGAAGTTTAGAGAACATTGTATTGAATATCTTTACCTACCAACTTGTACTTTAACTTGAGATTTTAATATTTGAGAGATCTTTATTTGTAATTCTCTTCTTATTTTATTTGTGAGTAATCTTGGGGGTGTGACTATTCCTTCAAGAGTGATTTGTAGAGAGGATTATTTGGGTTTATCTTGTAAAGGGGTGAGATTTGAGAGAAACACCCTTATTCTTGTAAAAGGATTGAGTGGCTCCTTTAAGTCACCCTTGTTGTTGTTAATGGAAAGTGTGGAGGAAATCCTTGGTGAGTGAAACCAAAGTAGAGGACTAGGCTCCAAGTGGTTGGATCGAACTTCTATAAATCATTGAGTAAGCTCTTCTTCTCTACTCTCTTTAATTTTGGTTTTGTGGTTGCAAAAAGGAGAGAATTTTTGAAACTCTAATTCACCCCTCTCTTGAAGTACATTGAGTCAATACATAATTCTCTAACCTTGAAAAAGAAGAAAATAGAAGCCTAAAAACTGTTTCCTATATGCTAAACCTAGTTTTCAAAGGTCCTATTTATGTTAGGAATAAAATATGAGTGTTTGGTAACTAAAATAGTAGTCTTGGGGAATTTATTTTATTTTATTTTTTTTTCCCACACAGCCTTGTTGGTGAGGGGTCGAAACCTCAATCAGGGTGCGAAACCCTGATGTTTCTGTTTTGTGCAACACTGCCCAGGGGTTGGAACCTGGAACAGGTTGCGGAACCCCTGATGCTACTGGAATTCCTTTTGCGCTGGTCACGGCAACTTCACGGACTTGCGAACTTTGCTTTTAATCAAATATGGAGAAATTTCACTTTAGCCTTCAAAGTTCCAAATTCATCCTTGGATCCTTATCTTTCCAGCTCTTTGCATTTAAGTCCGTTTCTTCTAATTCTTCTCCATTTAACATCAAACATTTAATCATTACAAAATTCGCACAATATGAATAAAACGAACACTTATGAAATTACTTATAAGAAAATACAACTCTTAAACCCATAATTCTAAAATGTCATTAGTTAAGCACACTTTAAATATACATTTTCTTTTTTTCATCAAAAATACTCAAATTCACCCTCAAAGTATAGTGGTATGGACAGATCTATCTCGAATAATAAACGGGGATAAATCCACCCATAAAGTTTTTGATTTGGACAAATCAGCTTAATTTTAACTTGTAACATCATCTGATGTTAAAATTCTGTTAATTTGTTATGTCGTTAATAATGGATTGCTGATATCAGATGACGTCAAACTAACAGATTGCTGATGTCAAATGATGTCAAATTAACAGATTGCTGACGTCAGATGACGTCAAATTAATAAGTTGCTGACATCAGATGATGTCAAATTGACAGATTATTGATATTAGATGATGTCATGTGTTAAATTTGAGATAATTTGTCAAATTCAAAAATTTTATGAATGGATTTATTCCTATTTTTTTATTTGGGGTAAACTCGTTTCTGCCACTATACTTAGAAGGTGGATTTGGATATTCTACCTATAAATTAATCTTCAAAAGGGAATTCACTACTAGAAAACCTTATATCACCTACTAAATATTTACCAACATGAGAGTTTTTGTTGGTCAATAACGATTTTACCGACAAAGAACATGTCTTCTCTATGTAAAACAGTAAAATTTACATTAATTTATGTTATTTCGAGTACAGATGAAAACTTCGTCGGTAACTTCATCCTACAGAAACGTGAAGTTTGTCGGTGATGAGGTTTCCTCTTACCGACGAAGCTGGCATCAGAAATTAATAACCTCCTGCAACCTGCACCTTCTCAGTAATATTCCAGCACCGTTTTTACTCCAACCGGGCCTGGTGAAGTCAAGGAACCTGCAGCTTTTGTGTGTACCAACTAAAATTTGTCGGTGAAATGCCTTTTCTGCAACCATCATCTTCTCGGTGATGGCTCTGGCGAACTAGCCCTCTGATGCAGTATAGGAGGTGCTTAGCTTTATCACTTACCAATGTGTAGCTCCTTGGTAAGTGATCAACCTTCCTCCTCATCTCG